TCTTCTCTTTGAGGAGTAGCCATTCCTTTGTTTTCCTGAAGCCACAGGATCGCGTGACAATGAATCTATTGTACATTCGAGATGCGATCTTCAGGCGAGATGATGACGGCATACTTATGTCCTCCCGAGGCGAGCAGGGCTTGATTATAAGCGTTGTGTTCACGGTCTTGGCAACCTGCTTCGTGATGATGAGGATGTATACTCGTATGAAACTTATGAACCGAGTGGAAGCAAATGACTGGATGGTTATTATCGCACTGGTGGGTTGGTTGATTGGTACTGATATCAAAGGACTCCAGATACTGATGCAGATGTATAGGTGAATTCATATGTCTTCATGGGCCTCGACATTATCGAAGCCGTCAGTGGCATGGGAGTGCATTTCAAAGATATCCCACCAAACATTTTCGAGAGACAGATGAAGGTGAGCTTGCCCTAAGCCGGGTCATTAGCTGTCAACTGCATCTAACAAACAATCCGAATAGGCCTTCTGGCTCACCATTCCTTTCTACAACGCCGCCGTCCTCTGCGCCAAAGCCTCAATTCTGATGCAGTACTTTCGAGTCTTCCCAACGCACCGCATGCGCGTCGTATGTTGGATCATGATCACCATCCTCGCCGTCTATGGCACATGGGCGGTGATCAGTGCATTCCTCAACTGCATTCCCGTGGCCAAATTCTGGGACGATTCAATACAAGGTTTCTGTTTGAACAAGACCAACCTGTGGTTCTCCAATGCTAGTATGCATATCTCAACCGATGTTGCTATCCTGATCATTCCCATCCCGGCTCTAATGGCAGTCGACTTACCTCGAAAACAAAAGGTCGCTTTAATGATCATGTTCGCCCTGGGTGGCTTGTGAGTTACCCTGTTCCAAACATCATCTTTTCCCACGACTAACATAACATCCACTAGTGTCTGCGTCACCAGTATCATCCGTCTAGTCAGCCTGAAACAAATCGCCGAATCATCCGATCCCACCTGTACGTATCGTACCGCTCAGCCCTATCATCCCAAAAACCAAGCTAACCCCACAAACTAGACGACAACGTCGGCGCCGCCTCCTGGTCCGCCATAGAATGCAACACAGGCATAATATGCGCCTGCTTACCAACCCTAAAACCCCTCGTCGCCCGTATATTCCCAGGCATGATATCGACCTTCAATGCCAGCCGCCCCGCCCGCGGCGATACAACCCGGCGCAACTCCGACTGGAACTGTGATGCATCAACCCTCGGCGCACCCGGCGAAGAACACGAGTATGGCGCCGGTGACCCGGAGCGCGTTCTCGCTCTTGTTCCTAGGACCAGCTTCAGATCTAGCATTAAGCGCTGGACGAGAGAGGAAGATAAGAAATTGACAGGGATTATCTCGGCTCCTCGGCCTCTGAGTCGGCCCAATACGCTGACGCATCCTCGTCCTTTGCCTGCGGATTTGGCGGTGCCGTTTTGAAGGTCTGATTTATAGACACGTATTTGGTTTTTGAATGGCTCATGCAGTCACATTGGTGGCTTGGAGTATGATGTGATATACCCGTCAGATTTGTTTTTTGGTCCTCGTCAACGTTGCACCACGCTCTTTGAGCCTGGCAGTTGTCGGGCCATGATTTACCCCATGGGGATACACCCGTGGGACACTCATTTTTTTTCTTATGTCATTTTAAAAATATAGTAATGTGAAATGTATGTTTGGAAATTCTTGGATATATAGTTCGTTGAGGTACAGCAATCGAATCAAAAAGATAACTTATTGCTAAGAGTTGGAAAAGCAATACATATAGTCACAGAATGAAGCCACTTCTTGTAGTCTAATACACACACCCAAAGCATAGAATAACGTGACGATACGCCTGGAATAGGGATGCACAAAGGAGAAAAGGCTCTAACTGTCTAAAGCAAAGCACGGAATTACCAATTTAAAAGTCGGCGAACTCCTTATCGACTTCTTCGTAGTAGTCGAAGAATCCCTTGAACAATTTGACACCCAGACCGGGGTCCAAGCTGCCAGTAGTCGCCCGGATACTGTGCATGCTCAGCTGCGGAATACCGCAGTCAATCGCCCTCATGCCGATCTGGGCACTGGTCATGGGCCCAATAGTGCCACCGCTGCGAGAGTCATTGCGAATCTGGAAGACCTGCAGGGTTGACCCACAGCGCTCGGCAACTCGTCTAATGAGGCCCTCACTAACGCTGTCGGTAGTCATGTGTCCGTTAGAGTCGGCAGACACTGTCACGCCAACGTTAAGGCGGGGCGCGTGGTTTTCCAGGTAGACATTGAGGAAGTTCGGGTTCACTGCGTGAATGACATCTGATGACACCAAGAAGCTGTTGGCCACTGTCTGAGAAAGGAGGTTGGGGCCGTAGTTGTCCTTCGCGAAGGCCTCGGTAATCCGTTCAATGACGCTGCTCATAAAGTTCGACCGAGCACCCTGTCGGAGCAGACTGCCAATCTCTTCATCGTCGAACATACCAACCATCTTCACGGTTCCGGTCGATGTGCTGTCGGAGGAAGCAATGAGGGCTTCCTGTGCAGCATAGCAGCAGAGCTTGTCGTCAATGCGACCGGCGAAGATCATGTCCTTCTCCAGACCTCCTAGTTGGGCGGGCTGAGTATCAAACAATTCCAATTCCCAGTTGACAATAGTGCTGTAGTCTGTGATGCCAAGCTCCTTGGAGATGATCTTCACAAGCTTCTCAGGCTGGGTCGAGGTAAACGTCCCGAACTTGATGTCGCTGGACTCAATCTTCGAGTCTTCAAACAAATCAGAGTTATCAATTCCGATGACAGGCACCATTTGGGTTTCCTGGTTGAACGGGCCATTCGCAGGTGTTCCGAAATGGGGAGCGAGGGTAGGCACACGGGCAATAGGCCAGTCAAGTTTGACCAGCTTATTCTCCACCTTGCCAGTCTTCGGATCGCGAACGAGCACGCGACCACCAATACCAAGATCACGATCCCACCAAGTATTACCGAGGCCACCGGCGTACGGGGCAACGCCGAGCTGCTGGAAGCCTGCTTTGTTCGGTAGCTTGGACACGGGCTTCAGTTTGGCAGTCAAAGCATCGACGTGGCCAGCAACGATAGCCACGCCGTTACCGCTCTCATATTTGGAGCCAATGTTGAAAGCGATCAAAGAGCTGCCGTTGCGGGAAGTGTAGAACTTGCCGCCTCGTTTCAGCTCCGATGTCCACACCGCTCGTTCGGAGAGGTGCTTGTAGCCATGCTCTTCGAGCTGATTGGAGAAGGATTTAACGGCGTGAAATATCGTGGGATTGGATGTCATGAACTCGCAGTAGGGCTTGGAGTAATCCTCGGGTCGGACAGGTTCATCGGCGATCGGTTCCTGAGCTCGGACTGGCTGTGCTGCAGGTACAGAAATGACCGGACTGGGCAGCTGGGCGGACATTTGTGAAGCCCATGGCATATCGAGGCCTTGGGTCGAGCTGTACTTCCTGGTCATGTTGTAAATGTAGTAGATTGTATGAGTGTAGGGAAGAGGAAGAGTTGGAGGAGAGAATGACTCGTGAGGGGAAAAGGCGGAGTCCCGACGGGGGCTGGTACCTGATCCGTTCACGGGGCCCCCGGGGGTTATCGCCGAGTCCGGTGATAACGGATTCAGCTGTCCACAACAACTACATGTTCTTTTCTTACAGGTCAAATAGTACTTATATGCAGGTGAGAGGATACTTGTTAATATCGTCGCAACAATCTACACCGTAGTTAGCTAAATGCTTAGTTCCTACAAATCGCATACACTGAAATCAAGTCCTATGACGCCATTTGCTACCAGATTAGTTCTAGTAAGTCTGACTCCTTATGCATGTTGTAGGGGCTCGCAGTCGCTGAGACGACCAACCTTCATGCTCCTGCTAGGGGAAAGACGGAAGAACATTAATCCTTTCGCTCAACAAGCAATGATAGACTTCACCTTCACATTCAATGGAGACTTCATCTTTTCACATATGCACAGGGAGGCCAGCAACATCCACTTATTGTCACATACCATCAATCCTCTTCCTTGCTATGGACGACTCAACTCAACATATTCGCAGCCACGCGATGGGCCAAATTTGAGAGATCTTGTTCGACTTGCCCCCAGACGTTGTTCCAGGAACGATGCGAATACTGGGTGATACTCCTAATAGTATTCTTGATCCGAACAATTATTTAGAATCTATACGTCCATTTGCCAGCGAGGCGCAGGACGGCCTCCATCAATACAATAGGAATAATACGACTCGTTTCCCTGCGGTCACAATCTACCCCGGCAAGCACTCCTCTTTTGTGGTCGATCTAAACAACACCGATTATGACTACCAAACCGCCCATGAATGCAAGATACCAGTACCGGTCTATGTCCTCCGCTTATCGAAAAGAAAACCCACGATCTTCCGAAAACGAGAGTTGGATGGACAAATCGCAGAGACTCTTCGGGTTATGCACAATAACCATGGCCAGGACTCCCTACCTTTATTTGACAATTACTGCGACCCGAGTAGTTATTACGGCAATTCACGGAGCCTCCGACATTGATCTTGGCCTATTCGGTCTGGCAGCTGTCTGCGATGATGAAAGAACCTTGTTGTCACCCTGTTGTGATCGATGCTATTTTCTGTATAGATCCAGACTATAGGATAAGACACGGCGGTGGTGAGTGAACGGGGAAAATACCTGTCGAGTAGCCGCATGATATTGCCGTCCATATATATAGAACTGAAACTGTCACTACACACGTATCCCGACTCTTCTTCTTTTGAGATTTTCGGTCCAGCAAAGCGCCCGCCTGAGCCGAGTAGTTGTAGATTATTAAGTATCTCTGACAAATTGAAAGCCCATTTCATCTGATTTGTTGGGACAGCATAGTCTTTGAAGATCAGAGATACTTTGGAAGATTGGTTCCGACGAGAATATTGAACATCGCCTTTGCAACTGACGCTGACCAATGGAAAGGTTGTATTTGTTGCGGCGCAGCAATACTTTGGCCGGCCGCAAAAAGCCATTATGTTTTGTCTGTCCCCTCTGAATGCAGCTTACGAGGGAACGAGCCCAGAGTAGTTTGTATATTCTTGCTCAGAATCCTCTCTTTGACGGGTTCCTGATCTGGGTTAGCATGGTCCGCTCTGGGTCGTAACAAAGAGATGCCGCACCTCAACCAAAACGCAGACGCTGGTAAGCAACGGGATAATTGGAGCCCTCAAGGTTATGTGCCTTTGGCTGCAGCAACTCCTCGTTGTCCGTAGCCAATGAAGAGATTTTGCGTCCGAGAAAATCAACACTACCATTAAGCGGCAATATATCCTAGGAGCATTGGTATCATTCTGAGACTGCATATGTTGCCCAATGACTTATCACATTACATAGAGAGGCCTTATTTCGTAAATGACTATGTAAAGTAGAAGTAGAAGCTAGTAAGACCTTGCCAATACATAGTTCGGATCAGAGAATAAGCAATGCCCTGCTATGTACGTACGCGGAGATGTTTCCCAAGAGCTTGGTCTTACTGACCCTCATAAAAGCGGAAAGCCCCACACGCCAGGGAAAATCCCGTACGTATAGATAACATATGTATGGACTCTGCACCTGGCATGCCGCATCATGGTGATGTCAGTTGACAGAAACCCCCAAACCAGGAAGTTTCGTCATTTTTACATATACTGCAATCTAGTAGTTAAAACCAAGCCGGAAGTTCCTATTGAACCCCATGGACAGTGAAAGCATAAACTCGCTATATCCCAACCACACGTATCATCGAATATATTGAAAATGGCGATGTCCCAGGCAGCAAACCTACTGGAAAAGAAACTCCCACGTGGTAATAATGCGACAATCACCACTGACGTGTCTAACTACGCCAATGAACATGGAATGGAGACAGGAGAGATGATCCAGGCTACTACTTGGCAAGGGAAGAACCAAGTCAAAGTTGGTAAGCGAGGGAGGCGATTGCCGGCGTTAGGCTTTTGTACATTGCTGACCACTGATTAGTGAAAATGCCGAAGCCGCGTGTGATCGACCCTGGAGACGTTATTGTCAGGATCACAGGCACCACTATTTGCGGTAGCGATCTGCACCTGTATCACGGTATGAAAATAATCTCACGATCATCCGAGCGACCGGGTAGACTGACACAAATGTGCCGGACAAAGGGGTCATTCCCGAGATGCAGAAGGGCGACGTGCTCGGCCATGAATGCTGTGGAATTGTGGAAAGTGTAGGGCCAGAGGCAAAGAACGTCAAAGTCGGAGAAAGAGTTGTTGTTGCTTTTCCGATTGCCTGTGGGACTTGCAGGAATTGTCGGAAAGAGTATTATTCTGTATGTGAACGAACCAACGAGAATGCTCTGGCCAATGCCTTGTATGGGAAGCGAACTGCAGGTAAGTTGAGCAGAGTGGCCGATGTGCATCTGACCTTTCACCCGGCCCTGAGGGTCCAGATATTGATACTAAATTGGAAAAAGGCATGTTTGGCTATTCCCATTTCACAGGTGGGTTTGCAGGTGGCCAGGCCGAGTATGTTCGAGTTCCGTACGGCGACGTCAATTTGCTTCAAATTCCAGCAGATGTACCAGATGAGAAGGCACTTTATGTCTCAGATGTTATGGCAACATCATGGAACTGTGTGGTCGACACGGGTGTGAAGAAAGGAGATGTTGTTGCGATCTGGGGAGCCGGACCGATTGGGCAGATGTGCGCACAGTATAGCTTCTTCCATGGAGCTAGTCGAGTCATCCTTATCGATGGAGGTGACGGTGCATGGCGATTGGACTTCGTGAAGACTAAAGAACCGAGGATCGAGACGATCATCTTCAGTGACCTACCGAAAGGTGAGTCGGTGACATCACAGCTGAAAAAGATGGTCGAGGGCGGACCCGATGTTGCTTTAGAGTGTGCATCGGGTGAATATGCCAAAGGATGGGCGCATTACTTTGAGCAGAGGCTTGGGTTGGAGACGGACACTTCGGAGATGTTGAATGAAATGATCACTGCCGTTCGCCCGTTCGGTCATGTTGGGGTGACAGGTGTCTATAGCGCATTTGTGAGTTCACCGGTTTTCGGAAGAGTGAAGTATCTAACAATCACTCCCAGACCAATCACTTTAACATTGGGGCTCTGATGCAGACAGGTGTTCACCTTATGGGTAATGGACAAGCTCCTGTTCAAAAGTATTGGAAGCACCTCATGCATCTCATCGAGACAAACCAGATCAATCCGCTAGATATGGTGACCCACCGTGTCCATTTGGAAGACATGGAAAAATTGTATGCGAGTTTCAATAAGCGGGAGATAGGCATGCAGAAGGTCTTTGTGGAGACCCAGTACTCTGCTCCTCCAGCAGAGGGAACTCCTCGATTAACGCAGTTGTGAATGCTTGTTACATCGATGTTGATGAATGTCTTGGAGAGAATAGCTCTCAATTTGGAATGAGCCCTGTGATAATTTCCGCTCAGACGTATATAACTATACTAGACCCGCCCCTCAGAAACGTTCAGTGGCAAATGGTCAACCTGATCTCGTCAAAGGAAAGGTGATTTCTGTTCTCACTTCTTTGACTCCCCAGAAAGTATTGGTATTTTATGAATCAAATACTAGATAACCGAAACATATTCTAGATATCAACGTAGAGCTCATGTCCCTTGCAGATTGAGAGCCCCGAAGACGAACAACAAGCCCGGCATTGATTAGCTTTAGCTAGAATCCTTATTGGAATTCATCTCAGCAGATCAAGAGCAAATTGGAAGTCCCTGGTGTTTGCTAGAATATCACTAGACTGCGTCATTAAGTCGGTTTATGTACACTGGAAAGATATAACTGAGAATAGTGGATTGAATTTTCCGCCGAGACTGGGCGTGTCCAATGGCGGCGATTTCTTTCCACACATTCCACTTTTCCCACCGTCAATCTCTGCATACGCACGTCACAAGCAGCTCTAGCTGTGACTAACTGGCGGCGGTATTCTCCAGATCGGGCGATGTACACGAAAGTTCCGCTGTTCGGCCCTCGCTCGGAATGAGGTTGGCGAGCATCGTTCACTGATTGATAAGATTCTGCTATGTGGGGGGGCATTTGCAAGGGCCAAGACCACCAACCACTTCCACAGAAGGCCGAACCAATCATCCAGAGAGGGAAAAAGATACGGCAGTGAAAGAGGGATAAGTTTGCCGATATTCACTCCAACCCTTGGATTGCGGTTGACCCTAGAGCGGCGTTAGTGCAATCAGATAAGATCAGAGAGACCGAGAACGGCGGCTGAACGGGTTCCAATTCCCATGTCGATCCATACTCTTCCATACTCTCACCGCTGATGGATGACTCGTGGGAAAGTTCCCTTGTGCATTGGCACGTTCTCATTGGCCCGATGGCCGTTGCTACTAGGTAGTGCTAAGTGGCTACAGGGCTGGTAGACCGGAAGTAGGGGGCGTCTCGCCCACCCATGGTCAATGGATTGACGAGACGCTCCACTCGAACAAATTTTACTTTGACTGGAGAATTTTGATCCGTGTCGCCTGTCATTGAGTCATCGAAGATCAGGCGGGAGAACGGTGAGCTGCATAGGAAGTCAGTACGTTATGAAGTGCAGAGTTGGAAGTTGGGACGGGATTTTGCCATTGCAACTGTCCTTTGCTGGTTCTAGTTCAAGCAATTGGTGCTCGAGCTGCGTCTATGAAACAATTACACGCAGTTAGCGAAGAAAATAAGAGATTATATTACTCCATACAGTAGAATATGTTGCGTCAGCCCACCAACGCTTGCTCGGAACCATCTCCACTCAGATTCGGATCAGATAAAAATTTCAAAAGAGGAGCTCCTTACAGGATTAGGTTTAGCGAAATAGTAAATAGACCAATGGTAAATCAGCAGAAAAAGAAAAAGAAGAGCCAACCTTGGAAGAACGGAACTTCTATAACAACCGAAAGCTCAATGTCCGAAACCGGCATCATGTGAGCACATAATCTAATCTGATCATCGGCCGCTTTTTCTCGGCTTCCTCCCCCTCCCTTCGCATCTCTCTCTTCTCTTTAACCTTTCTATACTCTTTGAGTGTCCATGCGTCCATCCCCAGTCTGATTATCTCATACAGAACAGAGTTTGAAAGGAACCTCGTTCTTTCTCTCCAACTAGTCATTTTCGCTTATCGGCTCTTATGAGCGCACTTCCGCTCTTCCGACCGAGAAACGGCTCGTGCGTGTGCCCCGACTACGCCCGATTAGTTGCCCACAACTGACCTCCAAACAGTATTTGAAGCTCAATTTGGTGTCAAGATGGCCAGTGTGTCTATGGCACCTGCTCCAGCTGGGGTTTCTGCACTGGCCCTCGCACCGGCGCCCACGCTAGCCGCCAGGCCCTCTGTAGCCCCATCTCCAGGCCCGGGTACCCCCGGCTCCATCACCTCGCGAGAATGGGTAATCCCACCACGTCCCAAGCCTGGTCGCAAGCCAGCTACAGATACACCGCCAACCAAACGCAAAGCTCAGAACCGAGCAGCTCAACGAGCGTTCCGTGAGCGCCGGGCCGCCCGTGTTAGTGAACTGGAAGAGCAAATGAAAGAAATTGAAGATAGCCACGAGATCCAAGTCGCCTCGCTCCAACAGCAAATTGGAAACCTCTCTGGTGAGATTGATCAATGCCGTGAAGAGATGGGATGGTGGCGCGACCGGTGTCACGCCTTAGAGAAGGAAGTATCGATCGAGCGCAGCGCAAAGGAAACCCTTGTCAAGGAGTTCCGGTCATCTTTCGCTGGCCCTAGTGTCAGCAAGCCTGCGCCCGTTCCGGACTCTGTTCCCTTGCCACCTCGTAAGACCAAAAGCTCCCGAATGGAGGATGTTCAGCCTACAAGTACCGAACGCAACAAGGAAGATAGCCAGATGAGTATACCTCCGGGGTGCAACAACTGCTCCAACGCCCACTGCCAGTGCATTGAAGATGCATTTGGCATGCAAATTGATACCCATGAGTCGTCTCGTTCTAGACACTCACCTCATGGCGTTGGCAGCCCGGAACGAGATCATAGGGATCCCCACATCAAGCCCGATCCGGAAGAGATGGAAATCGACTTTACCGCTCAGTTTTCTAGCGTTCCAACCCAGTCTCACGACAACGATGTTTCTTCGCCTCCCGTTGATCCCTGCGGGTTCTGCCAAGACGGCACTCCCTGCATCTGCGCCGAAATGGCCGCACAGGAGCAGCAACGTGTACGCAACATCAATACATTTGAGACCAATCGTCTCGCACCGATTCAATCCATCTCCCAATTCACCCCGCCACCATCCGAGGGAGACGTCCGCTCAGAAGTGACCCTCCCACCTATCAGCCAAGCGACTAATTCCTGTGCCAACGGTCCAGGCACCTGCGCCCAGTGCCAGTCCGACCCCCGAAGCACTCTTTTTTGCAAGACGTTGGCAGCCTCCCGGTCAGCGAGCGGCACTCCATCGGGAGGAGGCTGCTGCGGAGGCGGAGGAAAGGACGGTGGATGCTGCATGTCGAGAAATGCCCCCGCCACCGCGCCCAAGCCGCGTAACAACGCCCCCATGCCTTCGCAACCTCCTGCACCCAAGCCCGCTCCGCCATCAGAGCTAACACTCAGCTGTGCTGACGCCTTTACCACCCTCTCCCGTCACCCGAACTTCTCCCGCGCCACCGACGAAATCTCAACCTGGCTGCCGAAGCTCCACACCCTCCCCGATCCCCGCGAAATCGCTCCCCCTGGCAGCCGCGCTGCCCTGGAAGTTGAGGCTGCAAGCGTCATGGGTGTGCTCCGATACTTCGACCGTCGCTTCGCCGAAAAATAAGCAATCCTTGTTATGGATTTCATGCGTCCGGGTTTCCTTTGTGTTTTTTTCCGGTCCTCCCTACAAGGACACTTTTGATACCCATACCCCCCATCCTCTCCCGGGCGCTCCATGTACCATACGGACTTGTTTCATATCCTTCCTGTCTTTCTCGACCTACCTCTCATGGGGAAGCGATCTGGGCTTCATCTATATTTATATGACTCGATTTATTTGCTATCCCCCAACACAAAAGCATAACATGTTGATTCTCATTCGATCTCACTGGGCTCGCCTGGTGCATGATCTCCTGGCCGCCATGAACATGGCCATGGTTGATCTGGCGGTCCCTTTGTTTTCGTATCAATTCTCTAATCTTATTAGACGGATGGATTTTAGCGGCGTTTCTGTTTCAGGATTATGTGTACAACGTGATTTTATTATGAATACAACGATAGTACCGCACTGCAAACTTCCGTTTCAAAAGTGTAATTGTGGTAGAACAAGAAGGGGACATGATTCCTTTTTCAGGATGGTATATGTGATAGTGATAGGCTCATTACCAAATTTGTTCTCGAATGTGGGTTGCATATAATGCGAAGTAGCAAGAAAACGCCAAACACCAGCCCAAATGCTAAGTTGATGAGCCAGCGGTGGGATATGGAAAGGGGAAAGAAAAACGCAGGGATGAAACAAGAAGATTAGCAAAGCCCGGGCTTAACGTCCTCTTCCACGTCCACCACCACCTCCTCCCATTCCACCCATCAACCCGCCCATTTGGCTCATTAGGCTCTGCATATCCGGCATGCCGCCACCGCCACCTCCCATCATCTGCATCATCTTGGCCATATCGGGCATACCGGGCATGCCACCGCCGCCGGCACCGCCCATCGACGCCATGCGCTTCTGCATGGCAGCCATCTGCTGGTTCTTGTTTCCGCCCTTCATCATGTTCTGAGCTTGTTGCATCTGCTTCTTCTGGCCGCCAACACGCTTGGCCATGCCGGCCATCATGCGGTGCTGGGAGAGCACGTCCTCAACTTCACGGACGCTGGTTCCGCTGCCGTGCGCGATGCGGACCATGCGGCTAGGCTGCTCGACGAAGTTCTTGCCGTCGCCATCCAGCTCGGCTACAGTCATGCTGTCGAAGATGTAGACCATGCGGCGCAGCTTCAGTGAGCCGTCCTCGTCATCCAGACCCTGGGTCATGTTAGACAGACCGGGAATCATGCCGGACAATTTAGACAGCGGGCCCATCTTCATGATTGAGGTGATGTTCTCCCGGAAGTCGCGCAGAGTGTAGATACCTTCCGCAATGTGCTTGTATGTCTCCTTGGCACCCGCGGAATCCTTTGTCATGGCCTGTACATGCTCGACCAGCCCGGCGACATCGCCCATGCCTAGTAGCTTCTGAACAAACGCGCGGGGCTCGAATCGCTCTAGGTCCATCATGTGCTCACCAGTACCAAGGAAGATAATAGGAGTGTGCGTCGCGGCGACAGCGGAAATGGCACCACCACCGGCGGCATGACCGTCAGTCTTGGTAATAATAATAGCTCCAAAGTCTGCCGTTGCCTTGAACGCAGCGGACTGAGCCTC